AAAAGAAAAGCTGGCCCATCTATTGAGTTGCCTGTGTAAGAATTCCTGCTACCCACATTGTACGAAACTTAGACATCAACCAAACCTAAGCTTTATTCTGGAGATCTCCTCAGAGTAAAATGTATGGGGTTGGGGCAAGAGCCAAGGAGAGAAACTAACCCTTCAGGGAGTCTAGCCTTTGGGATCAGACCCAGATGAGCCCAGAGTTCCTTGGGGAGCCTTGAGCCAGAGGCAGGTGTTTGCTGGTAAATTTTTAACAATCAGATCTTGGCAGGTGTATGCACAATTTATTGAATTTAAATCTAATCTGCATTACTAACATCTTCTCCATCACTTTCTTAAGTCTTATCAACAAGATAATAACTCAAGCCCTAATCTGCCTGTTTCAGAAACACTTACCCTGAAAATTTAACAATCGGCACGCGGGAGCACAAACCGGCTCAAGCACGCCCCTGCCGAGTCATTTTTATTGATGTTCTTTCTTTCTTTCCCTTTTTTTTTTTTAAATTTCATTACCTTTTCCAACTGACCTCCCCTGCATTGTCGAACAAAACAAATCTATGCATTGGCCATATCTGAAAATGTATTCCTCACTTGGCTTTTCTGATCTACTGCCTCTCTGCCAAGAAGTGGGAGGAACACTTGGCCATCAGTCCTCTCAAGGCAGGAAGGCTCACCGAACTGACCATAAGTCTTTCAGTGCTTTTTTCCTTCATGGTATTGTGGTCAACCTGGACATGGTTCTACCTTTGGCAATATTGCTCTGTCTCAGTTGTTAGGAATCTTGCCAAGTTTCTCAGAATTCTTTATATGCATAATTTCTTTTTTTTTCTCTTTAAATATTTTATTTTTCCCAATTACATGTAAAGACAGTTTTTAACATTCTTTTTAATTTTGACTTCCAAATTCTCTCCCTCCCTCCCTCCCTTCCCTCCCTCTTCCCTGAGACAGTAAGCAACTTGATATAGGTTATACATATACAATCATGCAAAACATATTTCCATAGTAGTTGTGTTATGAAAGAAGACAGACCAAAAACAGTGAATAAAATAAAGAAAGTAAAAAATAGTATGCTTCAATCTACATTCAGACTGCGTCAGTTCTTTCTTTGGATGTGGATAGCATTTTTCATCATGAGTCTTTTGGAATTGTCTTCGATGATGTATTGATCAGAATAGCTAAGTCATTCACAGCTGATCATTGTATAATATTGCTGTTACCATGTACAATGTTCTCCTGGTTCTGCTCACTTCACTCTGCATCAGATCATGTAAGTCTTTCCAGGTTTTTCTGAAATCAGCCTGCTTGCCATTTCTTATAGCACAATAGTATTCCATCACAATTATATACCACAACTTGTTCAGGCATTCCTCAACTGATGGGTATCTCCCCCAATTTATAATTCTTTGCCATTACAAAAAGGGCTGCTATAAATATTTTTATATAAAGAGGTCATTTCCCCCAGCCCTCGCCCTTTTTTAATCTCTTTGGGATAGTGGTATTGCTGGATCAAAGGTATGCTGTTTTACAGCCCTTTAAGCATAGTTCCAGATTGCTCTCCAGAATGGTTGGATCAGTTTACAACTTCACCAACAGTACATTCCAATTTTCACACATCCTCTCCAATATTTATCATTTTCCTTTTCTGTTACATTAGCCAATCTGATAAGTGTGAGGTGGTACTTCAGAAATGTTTTAATTTGCATTTCTATAAACAATAGTGACTTAGAGCATTTTTTCATATGACTACAGATAGCTTTGATTTCTTCATCTAAAAATTGCCTATTCATATCCTTTGACCATTTATCAATTGGGGAATGACTTACATTCTTATAAACTTGACTTAGTTCTCTATATATTTGAGAAATGAGGCCTTTATCAGAGACACTTGCTGTAACATTTGTTCCCCAGCTTTCTGCTTTTCTCCTAATCTTGGTTGTATTGGTTTTGTTTGTGCAAAAGCTTTTTAGTATAATCAAAATTATCCATTTTATATCTAGTAATGCTTTCTATCTCTTGATTGGTTATAAATTCTTCCCTTCTCCATAGATCTGACAGGTAAACTATTCCTTGCTCTTCTGATTTGCTTATGGTATCATCTTTTATGTCTAAATTGTGTGGCCATTTCGACATTATCTTAGTATACATATAATATAGTATAAGATGTTGATTTATATCTGGTTTCTGCCATACTGTTTTCCAGTTTTCCCAGAAGTTTTTGTCAAATAGTGAGTTCTTGTCCCAAAAGTTAGGGTCCATATGCATCATTTCTTACAATAACAAGTCATCCTTGGCAAATAATTTGCCTTCATCCCTTTCTACCCGTAAACCAGACCGACCTTTGGGCCCCTTGGCTGATTGGTGAATTTTTGCCTTAACTTTCAGGGGCCCAGGCCACTTTGCTCCAAATCATGCCCTGCATCTGTAACTCATCCCCTCCCCCTTGCCAGGGGTATTGTCTTTTCCCGTTAGAATGTAAGCTCCTTGAGGGCAGGGACTGTCTCGCTTGTATTTGTATCCCCAGTGCTTAGCCTGGCACATGGTAAGAACTTAATAAAAGGTTCATCTCTCTCTTTCTTCTCTATCTTTCTCTTCTATCTCATTCCCTCTTCCTTTTTCTGTCTCTGTCTCTGTCTTTTCCCCTCCCTCTCTGTCTCTGCCTCTCTCTGTCTCTGTCTATCTCTCTTACTCTCTCTGTATATACATATATATACATACACATTTATATATAATGTATATATGTACATATGTATATATGCACACACACATATATAGGCAGCTAGGTGGCACAGTGGTTAATGTTAGACCTGGAGTCAGGAACTCCTGAATTCAAATCCTACCTCAGACTCTTACTAGCAGTGTGAGCCTAGGTAAGTCACTTAACCTGTCTGCCTCAATTTTTTCATCTGTAAAATGAGAATAATTTTTGGGGGGTTCTTTTTTAATTGTATAATTCATTTATACAGACATCCTCTCATTTGGTTTCATATATTTACAAGTTTCTCCAATTCTCCTTTCCACTGCAAAATATTTACATTTTTGATTAAAATTTTAGCCACTGTGGGGCTGCACTGAACTTCTATGTATGTTTGGTTTTTTTTAACAGATGGAAAACAAAACTCCAATTACTTTTTCTGATACGTTAGCCTGGAAACATTTTGGAAATACCTCACAAGCCTTTACTCCTTCCTGTGAATAACCACTAAAATAATGCCATGAACCAACTTTGTCAAGATAAAATGAGAATAATAATAGCACCTACCTCCCAGGCTTGTTGTGAGAATCAAATGAGATAATATTTGTAAGGCACTTAGCATAGCACCAGGCACATAGTAGGCACTGTTAGCTGTTATTAGTATTACCTCTGTCTGCCTCATTTTCCTCAATTGTAAAGGGCGGGAGGTGGGGAGGAAGGGAGGGAGGTTGGGGGGATGGGGGGGGAGGAGAAGGTAATAGCACCCACCATCCAGGGTTGTGGTGTAGATCAAATGAGAAATTTGTAAAGCGCTTGGGTTGAGCACGTAGGTGCTTAATGAATGCTTGTTTCCTTCATTTCTTAAGTAACTACCATGTGCCAGGCCCTGTTAAATGCTGGAATACAAAGGCAAACTGATCTAGCTCTCAAGGAGCTATAATTTATAAAGCACTTTCCTTTCAGCAACCTAATGAAAGTGTGTTATTAACATTCCAAATGAGCTAAATGAGGCTTGGATAAGTGAAATTATTTGTCCACTAACAGACTGAGGAGTTAGAACCAGAGCTCAAGTCTCCTGACCTGCAGTTCAGGTTTTGTTTGATACCTGCCAGGTGTGGCCACCAGGTGGAGTGAGAGTCCCAGGTACGGTCCCTGCTCTAAGGGGCACTTCTCATCTCAGCAATGAGGGGCAGAGCTATTCTTGAGCATGGGGCACGTGGTGGGAAAGACAGGACCCTGCAACCTTGTTCTCAAATCACTTTCCAAGGCTGGAGCTGGTCCCCATTCCCTGCTCTTTCAACACACACACATACACACACACACACACACACACACACACACTGCCAACCTCCTTCCTGAGGGGAAAAATTCCTAACCAACAAAACTGTGAAAGGGGCAAGCCTTTGACCCACAACCTGTGACTCTCCAGGAAGATGATGAGTGCTGGGGGGGGAGCGAGAACATGACCAGTCCAGTCAGGAGCTACTATGATTCTTGCTTCACTCAGGATAGACATCCGGTTTCAGCCGGCTGGGGAATTTGGGGGCTTAGGAGAATGAGTCATGGGTTGGGGGATGTGCGTGTGCTATGGGGAGTTCCCGGCACAACCTGCTCAAAGCAGCTTGAAGGTTGGAATTGTGCCTGGCAAAGAGGAAGGGGGGATGGGGGGAAAGGGTAATAGAGTTAGAACATGGCGGTAGAGTACCCTACGGTTTCTACTACATGTAGAATTTCAGATGCAAGTAATGCAGTTATTTCCACAGGGACAATAGGCAGTCAGACCCAGCAAAGCTTGAGGAACAAGAGACGGTAGTAGGGGCCAGATAACTATTCCTTCTCTTCTTAACCAGGGAGACCAGCCAGGCTGGGGGAGTTAAAAGAGAAGGCTGCAGTGGGAGACCGGAATGGGATCACAGGATAAAGGGGACCCAGAAGGGTCTTTCTTCTTAGCCTCCATCTGTCTTTATTGGCCTCCATTCAGTCTCTGGCTCTATTTCTATCACCATTCTCCATCTCTTAGTCTCCGTCCCTCCCTCTTATCAGGCCCTTGATTCCACTGCTCTCTTGAAAAGCCCCAGGGCATCTCTGGGCTGTTGGGTGGGGCGAGGAAGGGAGGACAGGACGTCAAAAGAGGATGAGATATTCCACAATTTCACAAAGTTTTCGCAAACTGAGCCCTTAGTGTCCCAGACCCCTGCCCTCCCCCCTCCCCACTCCACCCTAAAGCATTGTCTTGGACATTGATTTGCATAAACCTGGGGAAGTCATTACTAAGAACTTTCAGCACCAGGTAATTTCCTCCCCAATGGCCCATCTTTTATAAAGGCTTCAAGCAGCCAGCCCCAGACACAGTCCAGCGCCTGCAGCTCCTGACCCAAACAGGCCCCATCGACCAGACCAAAGCCCCATGAAGCTTCCCAGTGAGTCTGGTGACATAAGGGCTCTTTTTCCTTCATCTCCCAAGATGGGACTGCCTGGACTATCTATCTGCCTAGGGTTAGGAAAAGCACCTAAAGGAGGGTGTGGGATTCCCATTGACTTTGCAATGGGACAGATGGGGAGAATTAGGGACACTAAAGGGACCCCATGTTGGGAATGAAAGTCTTGGAGTCTTGGGGTGGAGGAACTGAGACCCTTCTCTAACGAAAGTCTCTCTCTTGATAATCTCTCTCCCTCTCACTCCCCAGATCTGTTGCTATTCTGGCTGAGTGCACTCTGGCCTCAGCTCCTGGCCATCCCCCTGAGTTCCTCCAACTACCTGCCCCAGAGCTTCCTTCCCCAAATCCAGGAGCAAGTGAGGAAGATCCAGAATGACATCGAAGAGCTGCAGCAGAGACTGGTGAGAAAGGGACCCAGGGAGTAGAGAAATGAGAGGCCCAGGGGCAGATTGAGGTGAATGTGGTAGCACCTAAGAAAGCCTAGGGAGAAGACACGGGGAAAACAAGGGTGAACTAGAACTGAGACCAGGAAACCAAATGAATGGACGCATTAAGAACAATCCCATTGTGACAGAGAGAAGCTTAGGAGGTACCTGAGGAGAAGGATAAGGATTGTAGAATTTCCTGCTGGAAGGAACTTTAGAGATCACCTGGCCCAAGCTCACATTTTACAGGGTAGGATATTAAGAGAAGTTGAAATTGCCCAAACTTGCCACATGCTTTAAGAGTCAGGATTTGAATTCTGGCTCCAAATTCCATATTCTCTATCCACTGCCATCAAGATAGACAGTCAGACTGAAGCTAAGAAGCAGAGACTACATATAGGGCCCAGGGGGGATCTCCCACCTCCAGCTCTACTAAGCACTCGATTCCTGCCTTCCCAGTGTGCTGACTACAGCCTATGCCATCCAGAGGAGCTGATTTTGGTTGGCCAGTATCTGGGCATCCCCAAGCCACTTCTGAAAAACTGTTACAGTCAGGACTTGAGCCTGGTAAGTGCCCCCAAGTTCTTCTCTGATCTCTGGAGCCAGGGATGGAAGGTATAGGAGAATATAAATTATTCCTTTCCTCTGTGGGGGTGGGTGGCAACAACAACAAAAAAATCCTGTTTGGATTTCACTAATTCTACCCTGATACTCAGTGCTACAGGTTAGAGGCGGGGATTTGAGAATTTCATGGAGGGCCCATAGCCCTGGGCCCTTTATCCTTGGGCCCTTTATCCTAACAGTCTGCCACACCCTAGGTAGCCTGCCTGAATCAGCTGCACTATGGACTCCAGTTCTACCAGGGCCTTGTGAAAGCATTGGAGGGCATCTCCCCTGAATTGGCTCCGACTCTGAACATCCTGCAGCTCGATGTTGGTGATTTTGCTGCCAACATCTGGCAACAGGTGAGACTTACTACCGCCTAACTCTTCATGATGCATTCCATTACCTGTCAAATGAACATCCTTCTTTTTCCCTTCCTGATATTATAGATGTGAAAAGATTGTTTTGTTCTTTAGGGGAAATCATATTTAGAAGAGTTGGCTAGGGGAGGTATGGGTCAAAGGTCTAAAATGAACCCATCCTTACCGTTGGTCTCGGACTGTTAGGGTGGGATTTGTCGAGGAGGCAGGAATCACCTAAAGCTTGAGGTTTAGCCATGGAAGGCAGGGGCTGGGAAGCCCCTTGGACACAGACTTGCTGGCTTCCCCTCCATACTCTGCCTCTGACACTTTCCTTCTCCCACAGATGGAAGATCTTCAAGTGGCTCCTGAGATCATGCCCACCCAGGGCACCCTGCCCACCTTCAGTTCCTCCTTCCAGCGTCGAGCAGGGGCCGTCCTCATCTTTGACTACATGCAGGGTTTCCTGGACATGGCATACCGGGACCTGCGCCACCTTTCCCAGTCCTAAGTTAACCCCATATTTATCCCCTATTTAATATTTATGTATTTAAACTTAGCAATATATTTAAAGGGTGGAAGGGACTGGAGTCCTCCCCCTCAATTCCATTCTAGGTCACAGTCAGTCTTCCTGCTCATAGCAGGAGAAAGTCTTGACCAGCCATCCTGGGGGCTGGAAGATAAATAGGTAAATACCAAGTATTGCCATAAAATGACCGATCTCCAGGTGGGAGATGCTTCGTTGTTTAATATTTAAACAGCAATGTTCCCTAGGTAAATACTGGTACCCACTCTCCTGGCCTAGCCACGGCTGGGTTGGAGGCAGAGTCTAAATCACCAGTGTTGCCCGGGTCAATCCAACTCTTCTTTGGTTTTTCCTTTGCCTCATGGGAAAAGCCCTTTGCAGAACAAAGGAAGCTTTGGCTGGGAGGTGCTAAGAATGTAAGCTCCTTGAGTGCAGGCACTATTTTTCATTTTTGTGTTTGCATCCCCAGCACTAAGCACATTGTATGCATTTTAATAAATGTTTGTGGAATTGTACCTGAAATCCTACTGATTCTGTGTGGAGTAATTGTCTTTTCAAGAATTTGGGGTATGAAGGAGCAGCTAGGTGGCACAGTGGATAGAGCACCGGCCCTGAAGTCAGGAGGACCTGAGTTCAAATCCGACCTCAGATCGAACATTTGACACGTACAAGCTGTGTGACCTTGGGCAAGTCACTTAACCCCGATTGCCTCAATAAACCCCCCCCCAAAAAAAGAATTTGGGTATGCAGAACGTATTTGGGGCAATCAGAGGAGATCCCTGAAGTCCTTCTAGGCTCAGGGCATTTGTGGCGGCCTGTTATTTTTATTCCTGCTATCAAGCTGCTGAGTAGATCCCCAGCTAGCTTTCTAAGAAGGGAAGGCAGGGCCAGGAGGGGCTCCCCAAACCAGAGGTCAGTCTCCTTCTTTTACACTCCCAGATAGCCTGCCTAAACCAGCCCCACTGTCGATTCCCTCTGAACCCAGAAGGGAATGGGTTTGAGTCTTCAAAGCCTGGCTGCTTCTACAAGCCGGTCTGGGTTGTAACTGTTGACTTAATTATAATTGCGATCATGGTAGGAGAGGAAGAATAGGGCAGTAATAAAGAGATATCCTCAAAACCAGGATGGAGGGGAGGCCTATGAATGGCAGCATCTGACAAGGTAGGCTCTGGACACTCCCCACCACCTCCATGCCGACTCTCCTCACTGACTTCTGTCCCATCCCCACAGTTGTTTTGATTCTGTCCGAGCCATACAAGCAGCCTCCGGTCTGGTATGGTAATCACCATATCCCAGGGCACTTCCATTGGTACAAAGTGTCACAATGGCCAGCTTTCTCCCTCCCTGCCTAACAACTGTTCACCCTCTAGTTCCTCAGAAACCAAATTTCCTTTCCCTGACTAGTTTCTAGAAAAGGACAATTTCTCAGCTCGGGATTATAAAGAACTTTAGGGTGCCTAGCTGTAATGGACTAGGAATTAAAAGAACCCCATCTTACCAATCCCTCTCCTGAAGAAACTAACTAAACTAGAAGCGAACTTTGGTTTGGTCTCCCAAATAGCGTTAATGAGGGTGAGGGCTGGAAGGAATTACACTCACACATATATGAAAGCTGGGCTCCAGAGAGAGATAGAAAGACAGAGAGAGCCTAAGGGAGGGAGCAGGTAGCATTCATCTCTTCCCTCCAGCTGAGACTCTAAAACAGCATTGAGCTCCTCCTGCATTCCTAGAGGAGTGCAGGCCAGACCTAAAGAAGGACACACACCAATCCTCACAAGGAATAGCAGAATAGCACATTCTTTATTTATAATGAAGATGGGGTGGAAAGTAGACCCCAAAGGCATACAAAAAAATCTTTCTCAACCTCAGCAGGTTGACTGCCACTTGGAAAAGCAGAATACAGGATTCTGTCTTAACTAACTACGTTTGTTACAAGGGTTTTATTATCCATATGTTCAGTGGGGAAAGGGAGAAAAGAAGGGACGGAAAATAAATACTTAGTATGTGCAAAAATTTTAATTAAAAAATAGAAAGAAAAGAGGTAAGGAGGAGATTTAAATCTACAGTCTAATGAACTAAGGTATGACGAGTGGATAGAACTCCCAGTCTGGAGTCAGCAAGACCCGAGTTCAAAATCCAGCCTCAGAACCTTACTAGCTGTGTGAACCTGGATGAGTCACTTAATCTCTGATTGTCTGACAAAAGGATCCACCGGAGAAGGAAATGGCAAACCACTCCAGTATCTTTGCCAAGAAAACTCCATGGACAGCTATGGTCCATGGGATCACAAAGAGCTGGACATGACTGAACAATAACAACAACAAAGTCAAGGAGTGGACATTATAAAAAAGGCTCAGAGAAGTCTTAGACTGGAAATCAAAGGAACGATTTGGAAACTGCACAAATGTCTCATCCCAGATAATCCTTATCCCCTCTGTGAGTGCTGGGGGTACAAGGCCCACACCTCCCCAAATTCACTCCCCCACACCAAAGAGCAGAGCTGCCAGCTCTCTCCTCATCCATCTCAGTGGGATGTGTGAGATGGAGGACAGTGCCCTAAGGGGCAGCACGGGGCCCCCACACCTGCCATCCCTCGCCTCTGTCCCACAACTCACAGTGGTGAAAGGCATAAACTGCAGGATGCTGCCTCGGCTGCCCTGCTCCAGGCAGTCCACACACTTCTCCATGAACCACTGCACAAACTGGGTGTGAGGGCCTGCCGTCCTGGCCCCCAAGATCGAGGAGATGAGCAGGAACAGGTTTGCTGCGCAGGAGCAGAGACAAGAGGACAAGAGGGGCAGTCAGAGGCACAAGGGATGAAGGAAAATCTGGAGACGGAGGTTGAGTATAAAGTGCAAAGGAAGGGAGGCAGGAAGACAGCAGGGAAGGGGGAGGCAGAGAGCAAGAGGAAAGGAGAAATCAGGAGGGGGGAGAACAGAGGAGGGGCAGGAGGAATGACAAGAAGGATGGTGACAGAAAAGAAGATAAAAAGGAAGACAGGAGGAGGAGAGAAGGGAGGAGGTGATTTGGTACAGGGGACCACAGGAGGGACTAGGGAAAGACAAGCAGATGTCTCCACCACCAGGTGAGGGAAGGTGGAAGAAGGGAGTCTCATGCCCAGCTGGCCAGGCTTAGGGAAGAGAAGGAACTTACCAAGGACTCGGTTCAAAGGGTCTCTCATATTGACTGTGTGCATCTGAGAGGCTGAGAGGGAACTGCTCATGGACCTGTCAGCTGGAGAATGGGAGGAAGAGGCAGAGGTGAAGACTACAGTGTTTGCTCAAAGCACTCTCCCCCAAGGGAAGCCCGCCCCAGCCTCCCTCCCTGGCTGACTGGTGAGATGAACCCCACTCTGGTTAAAGGTCCCAGGGAAGCCCCTAAGTCAAGGTACACCCCTTTCCTCACAGAAGTGCCCCGAGAAGAGAGCCTCCTGGCCTAGGAGGAACCCCACAGAGAGAAAATACCTGAGTGCTGAAAGGAGGTCTCAAGGAGGAGATGAGGAAATGGCACCACAGTTGCACAATGGGAAGATAATGAAATCAAATCAAGAGTGGATAGGAGAGGAGGGGAGGAAGGGGGCACCCAAAGGACGTCAGTGCTGAAGACTTCACGGCGTGGGGGGAGGAATGAAGCCTCTGCAGTCAAGTACTGGAGGGGCACAAGGCAGAAGGAGGCTGCAGTTACCTGCAATAACTAACGTTGATGCTGTGCTGATAACCTGTGTGATAAAGACCTGCAGCTGCAGAGCCTGGTGAGCGAACTCTGGGGGCCCCCAGCTCTCACTTAGAGGAGCCTGCTTCTTCTCTCAGGGACAAGGAAGCTGAGCAGATGGGGCTCCCAGGAAGGGACACAAGGTGGCAGGAAAGGAGTGTCAAGCCTCAGATTAAGAAGTCCCCACACTGGCCTCTCGGCCAGTCAGTGGGAAAGGGAGGGAGGAACACCAGATCCCTGGGACAGAAATAAGCTCAGGGACCAGAAGCAGGCAAACGCCGGTCATCAGGCCACTTTCCCTGTGCCCAGCTCCTCACAAGAACTTGGGAAACTGCTCCCAGGACTAAGACGGCACGACAACAACCTCCTTTGGGGACACCTGCTCCGAAACCTCCTTTCTGCTCTACTGAACACTCCCTCAGGTCCACAAAGACCTTTCCAGGACCTTCTGACACCGCTGCCCTACCCCACCCCACCCCTTCTCCCCTGCTTTCAGACACCACACTCTACTGGCTCTCCTCCCCCCCACCCCCACTCGCTCCTTCTCTATCTCCTTTCACATAATCCCAGACCTCAGAGGCCATCCAGTGCAACGAACACCTGACCAAAAACATCCCCAAGGAGAGATCGGCTAGCCTGCGCTTACAGACCTCCACTGATGGGGAGCTCATTCCCTATGGAAGCTGCCCATTCCATCCAGTGGTTTCTGATTGCCCTGATTGTTAGGTGCTGTCGCCTCGGACCAAACCAGAATCTGCCTCTTGTACTTTCCACAGACTTCTCGCAGAGCTGCCTTCCAGGGCCCAGGGAGAACAAGGCTGAGCCATCTTCTGTCACTGACAGTCCCTCAAATAGGTACAGCCAGCTACTAGTTCTCCTTGAAGTCTTCTGTTCTCCAGGGCCCTCGATGAGATCCTCCTATACCATGTCCTCCCGCATTCTCACTGTCCTGGTTGCCCTCTCTTGTCCATCTACTCCACACATATCCTCTGTTGCCTCTCTCAATGCCCCAAGTGCTAGGGGAATTCCTAGCCTCTGCCCTTGGCCTCTCTTTCTCTTCTTTCTCCATTCTCTGCCTTAGCAGTCAACTAGCATCTCTACGTACATGACTCTCGAGTATCTCTCCTCGACTCTTCCTCTCTCCGGAGATTCAGAGAGGTATTTCCAACTGTCTTTATCTAAAACAGTTCTCTCTGAACACCCATAATCGCTCCCAACTCGCTGTGTCCCACCCAGCCGTGTCTCCTATCTTCCCCCAAACCTGCTCTTGTTTCTGTGACGCCACCTTCAGCCCAGGCTCCTGCATTCAAAACCTCAGGGTTATCTTTGTTTCTCTTCAACCCGTCATATGCCAGCCGTTACCATGTCTTCCCACTTCTACCTCGCCAGTCCCTCAGGTACTTACTTTTTCTTCTCTATTGCTAATGACCAAAGTAATTCCACATCTCCTTGCCATTACATAACAGAGATCTGCAGTTTCAGATACAATCCTCTCCTTCTCTGTGTGTGTATGTGTGTGTGTATATACACATGTGTAATATACATACACAGAGGAATGCTCCCTTTATTTGATGTTTGATTAGTTCATAATTTTTTTAAAAGTCTCATTACCACAAAAAAATAATAATAATAAATAAATAAATGAAAATAAAGTCTCATTACCAACCCGGGTTCCTCAGAGTCCCCATGGCTCTACTTTCTATCTCATCCACATCCTCTTTCATATCAATGCTGGGTTATTCTCCTTTATGTACAGATCTAGTGATATCACTCCTCTGCTCTCAACCCTTTAAACCCAGCCCACTCTCATTCCAAAAGGAAGAGAAAGTGGGAGAAGGCAAAAGGGAGGTTCCTTGCAGACCACTGTGCCCAGCTGGCCCCAGTTAGAAAGGAAGCAAAATTTACCAAGAATGATCAAGTTCCAACTTTTTAGCTTGGCATTCAAGACCCTTCACAATATAGCACCATCCTGTCTTTTAGGAAGAGGAAAAAATGGAGTGCTAGTGAACCTCCAGGAGGTTGGAAAGTGATGTAGATGAGAAGCACAGTGGAGTCCTGATCCACTTTTAGAAGAGGGGCAAAGGAATTTGCTTGTTCCCAGGAAAATGGAGTTTCTCAAGACACAGGTTGCATCTCCTCAGGCAGACTCAGGCACAGCCAGCAGGATAAAGCCAATTTCTAGCAAAAGCACTACCACCAGCATGTCACTGCAGGCCCAGGACAGGGAGGTACCAAAAGCCATGCCCAGGAAAGACCAGGCCACAGGCCCTCGTACTTCATTCCTGATCCTGGGCGAACTTGGTCAAGAAGGCAAAGATGACAGAGTGACTGCAAAGAACCCTGACATGAAAACGACTGGCAAGTACCACCAAGGGCTGATCTTCATTAGGAAGAAGCCTACCCAGGTGAGAACACCATCTGGAAGAAGAGTGACGTTCTGCCCCAGACATCTGAGAAGGTACCAAGAGGAAAGACTGCAGACCTATTCATCAGGAAGGGGTGATGCAGGAATGCCTGGTATAAAACCGTTAACCTTAGGTAAAGGGGAGTCATGAGCTGGTCCCAGACAAAGAGTTCATGGAAGAGCACCACCATGGCATGGTATACACTGGACCCATCAGCCCTGTTCAGGAAACTCCACTGATCAATTTGGCCAACACTATGCTGCAGAGGAAACATTTCTTCTTCTCCCCAATCAGAGTGCTACCTCCTGAGCCTGGGAACCCTGGCTCAGGCCCCACCCAGCAGCCCTAGGACCTGTCAGCCTAGGTTTTCAACCTAGGAGTCATGCTCAATAATTGACTCTCACTCACTCTTAATATTCAGCCACTAACCAAATCTTACTGAATCCACTTCAGCATCTCTCAAAGTCCCCCCTCTTATCTCTGCTCATACCACAACTACCCAGTCTAGGCTTTCATCACATTTTATATGCACTAACAGCCTCCAGGTTCTCCCTTCTCTAATCCATCTGCCACACAGTTTCCAAATTGATATTGGTAAAACACAGGTGTGACCATGTCACTTGCCTTGTCAAGAAGCTTCTAGTTACCCATTGCCTTTGGGCTAAAATACAAATCCCTTTCACTGGTGATATTCAAGCCCTTCCCAGCATGGCTCCAGTCTATGTTCCCAAGCTGATTATACATCGCTCTCCCTTCTTCCCTCTACACTTCAGCCCACACAGTGGGCCCACTGTTCCCTGTACACAGCATACCCTCTCCCACCTTTGGGCCTTTGCCCAAACTGTCCCCACCTTCCTTCCCTCGCCCCCCCCACCTCCCCCAATTCTGTAGTGTTTTCCTCCACACCTCTGAGACTCAGTCCAAGGGCCACTTCCTTCAAAAAGCCTTTCCTGATCCCCCTAGGTGTTGGTGCCCCCACCCTCAAGTCATGTAACTATTTTGGCATATATCTTGAATTTCTTTATCCATACCCATGGAACACTTCTCTAGTAGAATGAAGCTCCATGATGGTAGGGTCTATCTCAATTTTGTTTTTGTAGTCTCAGTACCTAGCACAGTGCCTGGTATGCAGCAGGTGCTTAACAGATGCTTGTTGATTGATTACCTGGAATTATGAGCAAGGTCACAAATTATCTGGGCCATTTCCTTATTTGTAAAATAAGGGACCTGAACTAGATAGTCTTTAAGGTCCATTCAACTTTAATCCTGTGATCCTATCAATCTTAAACATTTGTTGAAAGAAAGTGAAAGTTCCCTCAAAGGAAGCTGGAAAAAAGTTTGCTACAGCTTATCTATTTCTAGTCCGTTCAGCCCCTGCTCCTGCCTGCCAAGCTTGCATACTCACTGGGGCTAGAGAGAACATTGGCATCATCCTCATTGGAACTCAGAAGTCGCATCAGCTTTGATGGCTGCGTATCATCCAGGGGGAAGAGGCTGATGTAGTCCTAGGGAATAGGGTCAAGAGGGTTAATAGCACTCAAAACCTAAATACCTTGAAAAAGAGACCAATCCATAAATCCATTTCCCAACTCCTACCCCCATGAGTGGCCCTCCAACATCAGGAAAGTAGAAAGAACCCAGCTATGAGGCAGGAAGAGGCTCCTGCTTTGAAAGGCCTTTTGACCCTCGAAATCCAGAAATCCTTCTGGCTACTGTTTTCATCTTCCTTCTTTCCTGAAAAGAGGGAATGAGGCATAGAAAACAGCTGCTCCCTTTCATATGAGAAGAACCTCCCAGAGGAGGAAAGATTAAGTCCCGGTTTCAGTTTTATACTCATTTTTAACAACTAGAGGAGTCATTTCCGAGGCCAGGGTACCAGTTTTGGGCCAAACTTGTTATCTATCACTTTGTATTATAATTATTTGTAAGTACTCACTTCAATGTCCTCACGGTGTCTTTTCTTCTGTCGGGAAGATGCCTGACCCTTGTGAGAGGAGTATGAGCTCAGGGCACACCACACTGCCAGCCTAGGCAAATAATTGCAAGGGGGAAGGAGAGAAGAGGAAGTCCAGTAGGAAATGGGCAAGGATCTCTATATCTTCTTCTTCTTTTTTTTTTATGACAGAACCACCTGGCAAGCCTTTTAACTGAACTATATCATATTTGCACTGGGATCTCCACCTGTTAGCTTTTCCTTGGCATGTCAATGTTATTCTGATTTTTCTTCTTTTTTTTATATTTATTTATTTATTTATTTATTAATTTATTTTGAGTTATCAACAATCACTTCCATAAGCTTGAGTTTTAAATTTTTCTCCCCCTTCCTCTTCACCTCCCTCCCCAAGAAGGCATACAATCTGATATAGGCTATACATATACATTCCTATTAAACATATTTTTACATTAGCCATGTTATAAGACAAACATATTGCCTTTTTTTTTTGGTGAGGCAATCAGGGTTAAGTGAGTTGCTCCGGGTCACACAGCTAGTAAGTGTCAAATGTCTGAGGCCACATTTGAACTCAGATCCTCCTGACTCCAAGGCTGATGCTCTATCCACTGTGCCACCTAGCTACCCCTGGATCTCCGTATCTTCTAAGCCAACCCAAACCAACAGCAAAGAATTGGTTGTATGAGGTTGAATTCTTTAGCCCCTCTGCTGTGACATGAAGGGGACAGGCTCTCCTTTCAGGACTGATCTGAAGTCACAGGAAATGGGAAGGAGTGGGGCTTACTTGGCCAGGGCTGTGCCCGGGGGATCCATGAGGCTATGCCATTTGGCAGAGTCTGTGAGAAGGCCAGGAAGGATGTGGCCCAGCAGGATCAGGGTGACTTGCTGCATGTCTAGGCAGAAGATGGAGTAGAGCAGCTCCACAGCTCGAAGGGTATACTCCTTTCGAGTCTCCTTCAGCAGCTCCTAGAATGAATAAAGAAGCAAAAATAGGAACATAGGCCCCTCAACCTTAGGCATTTCCTACCTCTGCATCTTCAAATGTCATTTCCTCTTCTTCTGCAACCAAATTCCTTCTTTCTCCTTTACAACTTCGGACTCTCCAAGAATTCCTCCCAGACTAACTCCAACTAACTCTACTCTGCATCTTCTTGGCAGTCACCAGTCTTGATTAATGATTATTAAAATCAGTTCAACAAACATTTATAAAACATCTACTATATTTAAAGTGCTAGAGATACAAAGATAAAAATGAAAGTCCTTGACTTCAAGGAGCTGAGAGATACATTACAAATTGTTCACAGAAAAAGAGGCAAAGGGAAAATCAAAATGTTCTCAAGATGGGAGAAAGCAAAGAGCCCTAAGAGTGATGCAAGTGGGCAAGAGCAGAAAAGGAGATCGGGACAGTGTCACACAAGTTTTAGCACCTGAGCTGAGCCCTGAAGGGTGGAAATGGTCCACAAATAGATGATGAGTCAATGCAAGTCAGAAGATGGCATTGGGATTCCTGTTTGGCTGAACCAACCAAGAAAAAATAGGGCAGGAAAGAGTCAAAGGAGGCAGACTGTACACAACAGAATAAGGAGTTCTGGGGCAGCTGGGTGGCACAGTGGATAAAGCACCGGCCCTGGAGTCAGGAGGACCTGAGCTCAAATGTGGCCTCAGACACTTGACACTTACTAGCTGTGTGATCCTCGGCAAGTCCCTTAACCCCAACTGCGTCACCAAAAAGAAAAAAAAATCACTGGCCAAGAAAGAGTGACTGCAGTAGAGTAATAGAGTATGAAACCAGATAGTAAAGGACAGAGAAGTCAGTGGTAAGGAAATGGGGGCAAGCAGTGTAAAGATTCAATTCTAGTGTTTAGCAGTGACAACAGGGAGAGCTATAGGACAAAAGATAGCTCCAGGAATATGCAGAGTCAGAGGAAGGAGCCAGGAGAGGAAAGAGTGAAAATGAGAGAAGGACTGACACAGGGAAAGATATCAAAGGACATAGTGAGGACTTGAAGGAAGAAAGAGAAGGGTTAGTCTTCAAAAGAAGGGCCAGTTCATATTCTCAGACTGTAGATAAGAAGTTGAAAATGTATAAATGAGGGGCAGCTAGGTGGATAGAGCAGTGGATAGAGCACCAGCCCTGAAGTCAGAAGGACTTGAGTTCAAATTCAGCCTCAGACCAAACACTTGACACTAGCTGTGTGACCCTGGGTAAGTCACTTAACTCCAATTGCCTAAAAATTTAAAAAAAAATGTATAAGAGAGATAAGAGAGTTTATAATGAATGACCTCCACTTTCTCTGTAATAGGATGAGATGACCCACTGAGAAAGAAGATGTTGGGGACTTAAGAAGATGGAAGATTAGCAACAGCAGCTATAAAGTGTGTTGAGAGACAACCAGAGATCATTAAAAAAAAGAAAAAGAAAAAAAAAGGATTTCCACAAAATATTAAGGAGCTAGTGAAAGTTAGATAACTAAAATATGGAGTGAGCCTCACTGGTCTGGTTATATGACCCTCTCCAGCAGTGTCTGGTGGCTTAGGAATAAGGGTGGAAATAAAGGTGGTGAGGGTGACACCAGATTGAAGATTGGTAGCTCATTAACATGAGGACATGAAAACAAGAGATTCATGGATCAAGGACAGTGCCCTGTTGATCTGCCTGACTCTGGGGCTAAAACTACAAAGGGAAAAAAGGTCAGAAAAGGGTGACACTGGAAAAACAGAGACAAACAATAAGGGTATGGAAGCAAGACACATGAACCTATTTAAAAATCACAAATTTGACATCACAGGTATTAATGAGATATGGTGGGATTGAAATATTCTTGTAGGAGAGCACAGTATTAAAAAAGAATGAGAAAAGTAAAAAAAAAAAAGCTAGAGTAGTATTGTATATGCATAAGATGTGGAGGAACCTATAAGGGGAAATTCTCTTCTGGATTTAATTCTCACTAACAGGGAAGAATTTGTTCTTTGGGATGAAAATGATGGAAACTTTTGGTGCAGGAAATGACTACTCCCTCCTAGAGTAGGGGAAAGCAGATTTAAAAGGATTCAGACAAAGGACAAGCAGCACCCTGTGACCTAAATTCTACTGAGGAAGTCAATCCAGAAGGAAGAGGAAGCTCTAAAGGATACAAGATATAAAGAAATAATTTTAACAAAGAAAAAAAAAATGGCAGTTGTCTAATGACACTAGTAAAAATGCTAAGGAAACTCACTGACCAACTTAGATTTTAAAACCACATATACAGATGAAACTAAAAAGCTTTTCCAGGATAGCTAAGATTAGAATAATTAAGAAAAAGTTAGGAATTAGGAAAATTAGGGGAAAAAACACTTTCCATCAAATATTTGTGTCAGGGAAATGACACAATTATATAAGACTCCATTGGATAAATGGCCAAAGCAGTTGTCAAAAAAAAAATGTAAATTGTTAATACTACATGAAAGATTGTCCCCAAATCACTGAAAAGAGACATACAAATCAAAACAGCTGTGAGGTTTTGGCTCACAGATGTGAAGTTTCAGCTTACACCCTGAGAACTGCTAAAGATAAAAAAGGGAAACATAATGATGAAAGCATGAGCTGCAAAACGGTAGGAATACTAATAAATTGTTGGTGAAGCTGTGAATTGGTCCATCTTATGGATTCCAAAGCAATTTGGAATTATACCGGAAATATGACAAAAATGTTGATTCCCACTTCTAAACATATCCCAAAGATATCAAAGACAGAAAGTCCCATATATGCCAAAATATTCATAGCAACACTTTTGTGGTAGAAAAGCAGAAAGAAATTAAACCTGAAAAATGTCAATTAAATATGGAATGGCTAAACAAATTGTGATTCTATAAAGACAATGGAATATTAATGTGCCATACAAATGGTAAATATGAATTCAGAGAACCATGAATTTATATGACCTGATGGAAATCGGACTAAGCTGAATGAGGAAAACAATATATACAATGACTACAGCAATGTAAAAGAACAAAACTCCATGCCTAGAATGTTCTCCCTCAACTCCATCTACTGACTTCCCTGGATTCCTTTAAGTTCAAACTAAAATCTCATCTTTTACAGGAAGTTTCTCATAGTTCTAGGGCCTTCCCTCTGTTATTTCCTATTTCTCCTACATATAACTTGCTTTGTACATATTTGTTTGCATGATGTCTCTCCCATAAGTTCCCCAGAGCTTAACATCCTGCCTAGGATTTAATAAATGTTTATTGACTGGTCAGTGAACATCTAGAAAAGAAAATAGTGATCACAGTCACACCACAGACTCATAAAGAACAAGCAGTGCAAGACCGAAGCACAATCCCTTTTTTGGCAAGATTAGTAGACTCAGGGGTGATGATGATGAATGATAATCAGCATTTATATAGGGCCTACTATGTGCCATACATGGTGCTTCACAAATACTGCCCATTTTTATCTTCACAACAACCCCTGGGAAGTATTATTATTAGCTTCACTTCACAGGAAGGTTGTAGACATAGTTTACATGTGACAAAGTCTCTCATGCTCTTCTCATGGATAAAATAGAGAGATGTGGGTTAGATAATCACTGTTAAGTGTATTTCAATAGGATGAATGGCCGAACCTACACACAAGATAGTCCTGGATGGTTGGCTCACTGTACACTTAGAAGGAATTAGTTCTTTCCCAATCACTGAAACTCTTCAAGTGTGACTGACTCCTTATTGGACAGTGGGAGGGGGTTCTTACTCAGGTATGGGTTTGCCCAGGGGTCCTCTGAATTCCCTTCCAACTCAAGAGATTCTGTGGTAACCTCTGCACCAAGAGGATGCTATTAATCTTTTTATCACTGATCTTGATAATGAAATAAATAACAAGCACATCCAATTTCATAATGACATGAATTAGGGGAGAAGTGCTAATAGATCAGATGACAGAGTAAGTGTTCCAAAAACTCTTAAGAGGATATTGATTTGAGTAAACCTCATAATGTGATATTAATAGGAGAAAACATAAACTCTTACACTAGGTTCAAAAAATAAACTGCTAGGATGTGGCTAAACAGCAATTCCTATAAAAATGGTCAGTTAACAGTGTGATATGATAGCCAAAAAAAAAAATCTGATTTGACTTTAGGCTACATTGAGAAAGACAATACTGAAGGGCTAGGAAGCTAAAGACAGCACCACTATATTCTGTTCTGCTTGGACTATAGCTTCGATACTGTGCTCAGTTCCAGGAACCATATTTTAGGGATGACACTGATGATCAGGAGAATATCCCAGGGAAAAGCAACCAGGATGATGAGCAGCTCATGTCATATAAGGCTAAGTTAAAGGAACTTAGCTTGGAGAATCAATCAACCAGTGTTTATTAAGCATCTACTATGTGCCAGGCAACATTCTAAGGGTACAAATACAAAAAATGAAACAAGGGGAAGTGAGGTGGTACAGTGGATAGAGCTCTGGCCCTAGAGTCAGGAGAACCTGAGCTCAAATCTGGCCTCAGACCAAACACTTGACACTTACTAGCTGTGCGACCTTGGGCAAGTCACTTAACCTCGACTGCCTAGCAAAAAGAAAAAAAAAAAAGAAGGAAACAACCTCTACTCTTAAAAAGTTTACATTCCACTTAAAGAAGAGCTAACTTAGAGGTCAGAACATAAGAATCATCTCATAGTACTCGAAGGACTATCATGTGGAAGTCACCAGCTTTGTTCTGCTTGGCTCCAGAAGAATCAGGAGCAGTAGGGTATGAAATCCCGCACATACTGTCAGACTCCACTGTGTTGATTTGCTTTCTTCTCTATGTTCCAACACTACTGAATGGAGAAGGCGGGAAACAAGAGGAAAAGTTTGGAAATGAACTTGATTTAAAAACCAAAGACATCAATAAATAAACAATAAAATAATAAATAAAGGATAAAAAACAAATTTGTACGGGAGGAAGAATAGCAACAGAACATCAGATAGGTGAGAGTGATGGTTGGCTGGGACACACTGGATGTTAATAAAGACTTCTTAAATGATGACTGAGACCAATGCTTTCTCTCCTCCCCAGAGCTGTCTGGCTCATGCCCAGCCCACAACACACACCTTGACCAAGTTGTTGCAGAACCAGTAAACACCACCCATATGCAGCAGGGTGTCAAAGACATGGATGGACCGGCTATCCACCCAGCCCTTCTCCAGAACCTCTGCAAAGATGCTTGTCAGCACCTCCTTGATAGGTCTTTTGGGGGGCAGGAGGTTCCAATAGGGCATCGTATCCATGCCGGTAGATGGGAACTTGATCTGTGTGGCTGTCTGCTGTAGAACATCAGCACACATGTGCTCCAGAATTGAGCTCATGATCACCACCCTGTGGACACAGACAACGCAAATGTGAACAGATACGGTACCTGCCAAGAAGGGGAGACACCAATAAGAATAAGTGTAGCAACCCTTCCTCTCCAAAGGCTTGTGGTACAAAAAAACTTAAGATGAATAAATCCACATTCTGCAGTGGAAATGAACAAAAGGAAGCTCCTAGCAGTACTCCATTGGTTAGCAATGGCCTAGGAAAGAGACATACCCTATATCAAAATGGGAAATATCTCCACTTCTTTCAAGGTATTCCAGCAGGCCTCTCTAACACTGGGCATTACCAGACCCTTCATCTAAATAAATACACGTCACATCCCAAGAACTACGTGTTGAGGGGTAAGGTAGGAAATGGGGCCCTGGGTTTTTCAGGCTCTAGTCCAGGCTTGGCCACCACTCAAAACAAAACAATTTTTACAGACACATGATTGTAGGCAGATACTGCCTTTATAACTATTCTGGGGTCTGGCTCACCTGGGCAGAAATAGGTCTAGGCAGAATTCTCTTATGAATCAAGAGTCTTCAAATAAGAATCATTATATTTGAATTGGGTGCTAACTCTGTTCCCAAAACAGTAAATCATCTTTGGAATACTATCATTATATAAGCCTCAGATTCTCAATCTCTATGCTAAATTCCCTCCTTTTCATCC